CACCTCCCTGGCTAATTTCATCCCTGCTATGAGGGCCTCATATTCTGCTTGGTTGTTGCTAGCCCGGAAGTTAAAGCTCAAAGAATATTCCAGTGTAAAGTTGTCGGGTCCTTCGAGGACGACCCCAGCCTTACTCCCCTTAAGGTTGGAATTGAACCGTCAACATGGAGAGTCTATTTGATCGTACTTTCTTCGGTTACTGGGTCACTTAGCTCCACCACAAAGTCAACTAGTGATTGTGACTTGATTTTGGTTCTCGGGGTGAAGTCGATATCGTATTTCGATAATTCTATCGCCCGCGTAATCATCCTACTAGCCAGATCCGACTTATTTAATATTTGTTTGATGGGATAGTTAGTTTTCACGGTTATCAGATGTCCTTGGAAGTAATGTCTTAACTTCATGTCCGTCATGATTAATGCTAGTGGTAATTTCTCAATCTTCGGGTGTCGTTGTTCAGCTCCTTTTAGAACTTTGCTGACGAAGTAAACTTGCCTTTCTCCCTCTCCTCCTTCCTGGATGAGTACTGAGCTTATGGCTCTTTCGGGGACTTCCAGGTATATGATCAAGGGGGCATTTTCCTCTGGCCTCGTCAGAACTGGTACAGAGGACATGAAGTGTTTTTCCCTTTGAAAGGCTTCCTTGCAGGATGCCATCCATTCGAAATCTCCTGACTTTCTGAGAGCCACGAAGAAGTGGATCGCCTTATTCTTGGAACATGACATGAATCAGTAAAAAGCGGCCAATCTTCCCGTCAGTTGTTGTACTTCCTTTTTTGAAGATGGACTTCACATATCTATAATTGCTTGACATTTGTCCGGGTTGGCTTCTCTTCTCCAGTTTGTGAGCATGAACCCTAGGAATTTACTGGCTTGGACTTCAAAGATACATTTGTCCGAATTTAGCCTCATGTTGTATTGCCTTATGGACGCGGATGTTTCTTTCAAGTCCTCCATATGTCGTTTTCCCACAATGGTATTGACAACCATGTCGTCTACGTATACCTTCAAGTTCCTATCGATTTGGTAGTGAATACCTTATCCATTAATCTCTGGTAGGTAGCTCCCGCATTCTTCAAACCAAACGGCATCACCTCATAATAGTAATTGCTCCGGTCTGTCATGAATGCGGTTTTTGGCACATCTTCCAGGCTCATGCGGATCTGATTGTAACTCGAGTAGGAATCCATAAAGTTGAGGATCTTGTACCCCGAGGTGTTGTCGATGAGTCGATCTATTTGTGGTAGTGGATACAAGTCCTTGGGACACGCTTTGTTGAGATCTATGAAGTCGACTCACATGCGACACTTTCCTGTCTTCTTCTTGACCATCACCATATTAGCCAGCCAGGTAGGATATTTGACTTTCCTGATGAAGCCGGCGTCGATTAACTTTTCGACCTCATCTTTTATGGCCTTCTTCTTCTCTTCTCCTCCCTTCCTCTTCCTCTGAGATACTTGTTTGGTATCCAAATTTAAGGCTAGGTGGTGGCACAGGAAATTGGGATCTATCACGGGCATGTCAGAAGGCTTCCAAGCAAACAGGTCCACGTTTTCCTTCAATAGTTTTATGACATCTGCTTCTTCTTCTCGGGAAAGATTGCATCTGATGTAAGTTACCTCGGAGGACGTGTTACCAATCTGGACTCTCTTTGTTTCGTCGTGGGGAGAAAGGCTTTCTTCTCGTGTGTCATCCCGAGGATCTATGAAGAACATGTTGATTTTTAGCTCATTGAATTGTTGGGGCCCTTCGGATTGTATTTTCTTTTAGGCTATCCTTGTAGCATTTAATGGCTAACCCTTGATCGCTCTTAACCACCCTGACCCTGTCATCCCCTAAGGGATACTTCATGGTGAAGTACAGGGTGGATAGCGCGCCTTCAAGGGCGTTGAAGGAAGGTTTCCTTATGATGAAGTTGTATGGTGAGGCGGCGTTAACTATCAAGTACCTTACCCTGACAGTTTTGGCGTTAGCGCCGCTTTCGAAGGTAGTGAGTACCCGGAGGTGTCCCAACACTTGCACCTATTCTCCAGAGAATTCGACCAAGGTGTCGATGAAGGGCAACAACTCGGACGTATCAAACTCCATTCCTTTGAAGGCTTCCCAGTAGAGTACGTCGGTTGAGCTATCAGGATCCACCAACACCCTTTTTACACTTCAGTCCAGGATTTACACTTTGATGACCATAGGGTTGTTCTCGTGGGCCATGATGCCGAATGCGTCTCTCTTGGAGAAGCATATTGGATTGAGATCTTGTTCTCGGGCCCTGGCTATGTCCTCGGACACGTGCATCACAGTGCGGGCGTATTTCTTTTTGGTATAGATGGTCTCACCACCGCCAGCAAACCCGTCGACGATGGTGTTGAGGGTGTGGCGGGCTGTCTTGGTCTCGTGTACCTCTTTAGTGCCCTTTTCTTTATTCTGGGAAGGTTCCTCTAAGTCTGTGTCTTTTTGCCGAGTATCTCTTTTATTGGTTGTGGTCTTGACCTCTTTGACATAAGTCAGCAGGTGACCCCTTTGTATCAGCTTCTCGACCTCTTTCTTTAATTGAAGGCAAACGTCGGTGTGATGCCCTCGGAGCCGATGATAATTACACCAGGCCCCGGTGTCATTTCCTAGTACTTCATTGACCCTCTATTTGAAGGGTATCTCGGGAATCAGGTTCAAGTGTTCCACTTCTTGTAGGATTCAACTTCTCCTTGTGTTTAAGGGTGTCTTTGTGTCATCTATTAAAAGGGGCACCGATTGGACCTCAGAGTTGCGCGTTCCCAGGGTTTGTTCTTTGGGTTCATCCGAGAAGGTTCATGTTTCTTTCTCGGTCCTTCTTCTTTGGATTTGTTTCTTTCCGGAGTGTCTCTGGATCATTTTTTAAAATTCATCTCCTAGCCCTTTATGTAGCAATTCGCCTTAGTGATGATTTCATTCATGTCAGACGCAGGCTTCTGGGCTAAGGATTCATTGAACTGTCTTGCTCGAATGTCGTGTTGGAACACTCCCACGTACAGCTCTTGGTTTGGGTGAGACACTTTGATGGTCTCCTCGTTGAACCGGGGCAGGTACTCTTGGAGAGATTCTGCCTGACCTTGTCGGACGATGAATAGGGATGTCTTAGACACCTTACGATGCTTGTTAGCAAAGAAGTGTTGGATTTGTTTCTTCATTAGGTCTGTGTAGCTTTCCACGGAGAGTCGTGGTACGCTCATGTACCATCTCAGAGCCATGTCCTTGAAGGTGCCTGCCATCAGCTTACATTTAATGAATCGGTGGAGCCGGTTATTGCCATTTGGTTGTTGATGGTGATAACATGCTCCTGAGGGTCAGTTTTGTCGTCATATGTGGTTAACGATGGTGATTTGGAGTTCTATAGGACTTGGTCGTCCTAGATAGCTTGTGATAGAGGATGAGGCTCCAGATGCTCCTCTTCTAGACCGTTATCCCCTACGCTTCTTTGTTGTAGGTTTGTAAGTTTTGTTCTACTGCTTGAGGGTCTCCACCATGGCAAGTAGTTGCGCCATGACTAAGGGGTCTTCAAGTGATGACATTCTACATGAAGTGGATTGAGGTGTGGCCTAGGAATAATTTTACCAAGGCCTTATGGTGGGTGCCAATGTTCCTGTGTAAAACAATTATTCGGTCGACTTCCCAGAAGGCAGCTAGGGAAAGCCTATTAGAGTAAGTTTATGAGATTATTGGGGGATTTGGGAGCTACGACAGTGATGCGTGCGTCCCAAGATGATTGTCTTGCTTATCCCTCTTGCGGGAACCCCTTTATATAGTGAGTGTCTTAGCTTCATCAAGAGCCTCATTTAATGAGGGACTCTTGAGTTCCAGAACTCTGTAACTACCATCGTCCCCATGAATAAAGGTGATTAGATCTGTGTAATGTAGCATTGAATGCACCGTCGGTGGTTACTGACTTTAATGGCCGAGAAGATGATCGGTTATGAGCAGGCGCTACCCGATCACCTTCCTCGCATGAAGTGACGACAAAGGCGAGTAGCTACCCGGGCCTATGAGACGTTAGGTGTTCTCTTAACCGGGGTATACCCTTGGTATCTTCATCTTAAGTCGTTTACTAGTTCATCCCTTTCTCTTTGCCGATTACACTACCTGGTAGGGTCTGTTATTTCCAGAATGTACACCCGGAACACAAGGTTGTGGAGGAGATCTTTGAATAACTCCATGACTTGAAAGAGATCCCAAAGCATGGGGAGGAATGGCAAATTTTGTTACACCAACACGTATATGATCATCTTCCTTTTTCAACATTGTCACCAGAACTTCCATAACCAAACTCAGTTGGGTCCTCAACGGATTGTTCTTCTCTCTCAGGAGTTCCTGACCACGGACCAAAGCTTGGATGTCCACCATGAACAACCTCATCTGACCCTTCATCTCGACTAGCTCCCCACGAAGTTGTTCCATATCATATCTCTAGGCACAAAGCGATGAGAAGTCAAAATTTGCAGTTCTAAAAAGAATACCAAGTCTGAATAAGAATCCCCCCGCTCTGAGTGCCTGTTATGAATACATGAAGATGTATGAGTGGATGCAATGCATGCAATGACATGTTTAAATATTTTCAGGGTCCTAGAACTTTGATTCGAGTCTTTTAGGCAATAGCAAGATACAAGGTATTGAACAACAATAAGTCAAATTCTCAATAAACTAGAACACAGAGGAGTACAAGTAGCTCAAAGATCAGTACCAAAAGTATCACAATAATCAAAGAGAGATCCCATCAACAAGCCTGATGGTGATCTTTGAAAAAAGAGAAAAACAACAAATAAACAACTAACTCCAAATAGCTCAAAGATCCCCGTCACTTAAGTTGTCTTTCAGTTGAATCTTGAGCTTTGCATTCTCTTCTATAACTTGTGCTAGGTGAATGTTACTCCCCTTGAGCTGAGTTTCTACTACAAGCCTCTGGAAATTCTCTTCTTCAAACTAGGCACTTTTGGCTAAAAGCTGCTTCTCCACAAAGTAGGATTTGAAGATAAACTAACAATCACAGCTACATTGCCTACAAAGTAGGATTTCAAGATCAAACAATACCTATAAAAATAGGACTTGATTTTCAGACATGAATCTCTATTCCTACTTCTCATGGCAAAGAAATTGAAAAGACAATACAGAAATAAGATAAATGAGAAAAATACCAAACGGAATAAAATTTGTTGCCTCGGACTAACAAAATATAAGAAACCCGAAGATCTTCGCGAAAGTTTGCATCAACAAACAAAATAATCAGAAATCGAATGCATGAGATAAGTGTTAAAGCATCGTCAATGTGGAAATAAATCACAAGCGGAAAGTGTGTCAAACATATCCGAATATCGAATAATAGTCCTACATAAAACACAAGTCTAGACAAACAACAATAATACACAAGTCTCATGAAATGAGAATCCACGCTCAGACGCGTTAGAAGCAAATCTGAACCACAAAGAAGTGAGATAAATGCTTTAATCGAATAATCAAAAATTAATTAATCGATTAAATGCTCTCTTAAACCGCTTTAGGAAGCTTGCACAAAAGAACAAATGAGTTAGAAATAACAAGGAGGGATAATCGAAGTTAAGCGTTCATATCATAACTCAATTCAAGCTTAATTCATGAAGAAATAAGTTCTGAATATGTGTCGCAACAACAAAATCAAATACTTGACGGCACCACTTTAACTTATGAAAATGCTCGAAAAGTCTATCTAAAACCAACAAAACTCAACACCGACATTAAACAATTATCGAGTTAAGTCCAAACATGTATTGAGCAAGAATTAAATCACATTTAACATGTATTTGTGAATACCGGGAAGCAACGTTTCATGTGTGTTCACCAAAAATCGATTGGAAATATACATTTTAACGCGAAAAAAATCAAACACTGGCACATGAAACTTCACTTGAAATTCACAAATAAATTGCAACAATTAAATCCACACCGGTACAATGATTTCCATGCATCGAAACAAATATTATTCAAGTGTCGACAACAATTAATCAACTCGAAATCAACCTTCGACACATGAATTTCACCAATTATCAACAATTATTGACTCGAAATGAAACTTTGACGCGTAAACTCAACAATTATGAACAATTATCAAATCCGACGCGTAGATCTCAACAATTAACTCAAGTAATCAACCGATTCCAACAATTATCAACATCAACATGAAAATTTATCAAGAATCAATAATTTCCACAATTCAAGAATTAATGCATGCTAATCAACACAAAAATCACATAATTCAAGAACAAAAATTCTACACTATAATTAAATCAAGAGATAAAGAAGTTTACCGAAAACAATGATCGGAGCAATGAACGGAGAGAGAAAACGCGATTGAAACGTCAATCGGAGGAGGGAGGCGGCGTGATCGAAAGCTCAGAGAAGGAGGGAGGCGGAGAAACGCCGGCGAGAGGGCGGAGGCGCGTCGCGCGGTCTTTGCAGTGGGTCCGGCGACAGGGAAACGGTGGTCCGATCGGTCAGTCGGCGATCGGCAGTGGTCTGGCGGGATGGTTGATTGGAAAACTTGAGAGAAAGAGAGTCGCATGAGATCTCTTGAGTTTTCTTGAGAGTGATTTATAATAATGCTGGAATCACTTTTGAATTTGAGAAAAAAACAATATATAGAGATGAGCTTAACTCATGTTTGTCATTTGGAAAAGAAAAAACATGTTTTTGGATTCACATTTTCCTCTCTTTTTTGGTTGCGCGTAATTTTCAGAGCATAATCCGAACTCGAGTCTTGAAGCAAATTTGTAGATGACAAAATTTTTGACGTCGGGCCGTGAGAATCATCCTGAAATGATGAAAATCAAGAAAGTTATGATTTTTGCAATATTGAGAAACAATCGACTGGAAATCCGCTTCACCATATAATTCTCAAAGTTATTTGCAATTTCAGAGATACACAAAATTGGCTCTCGACCCAAACATATTAAATGGAGAAGATGTAAAGGAGATTCTATTGCTCAAAGACCCACTTAATAAAAATTTCAGACAAAAGTTACAAATTTTTGAACCCGCACTGCGAAATGCTGATTTTCGGCCCAAATTGTTTCAAATAGACTGAAACCCTTGATTTTTTTCGCAATTCAAAACATGTTGAAACACGTGGGGACTTGACATGATGAGGACTTGATTAATCACTGATTAAAAAGTCTGAGGAAGTGTGCTTCACTGCATTTCAAATTCCGAAACCCTGATGCACTAATTGACGAAACAACGGTCTCTTTAGCTTGACGAAGCTTAAGAGAAGTGTTTTGATCCCATGACCATAGAACCAATGATATATATGTATACATATGATAATAAAATATAAACCAAATAGGGTTGAAATGAAGAGACTAAAGTTTTGGATACTACACCTACCACCCAAACAAAACAGACAACACAACCCATTTCTCTTTCAAATTTATCACAATTTTATCGGCAGCATAACGGATAAAACAAGCAATTTTTACAGAAATTCATCACAGATTTTCCCTATAATTATCTCAAAACCTCAACATGGTTTTTCACACACACAGATTCAACACATAACAGTCCAGAAATACTAAACTAAGAGAATAGAGAGTGAAAATCAAATGTACCGAAATGGAGCTCAAACGACATGGCGAAGCTGAACGAATAGGAGATATCGCGGTGTTGCTAGCTCCTTGCGAAACAGAGGCGAACAGGGCGAAGGAAAGCTTGTACGGAAATTGGTTGAAGCTGGTGTGCGGAGGGAGTTTGGAGATGCTTGACGAGAGGTTGTGCTTGGCGTCGAACATCGATGGCGGAGATGAAGATGAAGCGGAAACAGAGAGGGAAGGTTATGAGCATGCATAAACGGAGGAATGCAGCTACGCTTGAAGAAGAAGGAGGTTGGAGCTCGCGCAGAAATCGAATGGAGGGAGGTTGATATCGGAGTTGAGAAGACGATGGTGATGATGGTTAGATGGCGGAGGAACAGGGGAACAAAGTCACAATTGTGGTGATGGTTGATAGCGGAGTTGAGCGACGGTGGAAACTGCTTGCAGTTTGAAGAGAGACGGTTGATGATGGAGAAAGAACTGTTGCGTTTTCAACGTGCTTTCTCGTTTTCCAGACTTTCTCTTTTTGTTATATTCTCCCTTTTTTTGTTTATTCGATCGCTCTCCCCTCACCTTTCACGATCCAAACTTGTTTATAACCAATGAAAAAAAACAACCTTATCCCTTTAGGTTTTCAAGAAAGACCAAAAAGACCCTTATGTCAAGATATTTTGTTGTAGATACTTCTAACATTATTTCAATAAATAAAATATAAACAAAATTAATTAATAAGTTTTTTCTTAAAACATTTTTTTCATAATAAATAAAAAACAAATATATTTTCTATATACATTTTTTTATTTAAGCTAAAACCATTAAAAGTAAAAACGAGAATTTAACTATTATTATTCTAAAAGTAAAAAAGAAAAAAATTGTTGATAACAATTAAATCAGAAATAAAATGTGAATGCGCGAAAAATGCAATGATGTGAAACGAAACAATTAATTTGATAAACGATGTGAATGAGAAAAAGTATAAGGGAAATTTTGGGGTGCGACAACCAAACCATTAGAGTGCAATGCAATTGCTGAGAACAAATTAGCCAAGAAACAGGAAGATCCTGGAAGCATTTCTATACCATGTGTTCTTGGAAGGCATGTAATTGACAAAGCACTTATGGATTTAGGCGCAAGCGTAAACTTGATGCCTTTAGTTGTATGTATAAGATTAAAACCTAGGAGATATGCAACCCATGAGGATGCCCCTTCAACTGGCTGATCAATCAGTTAAGTACCTGATAGGTATATTAGAAGACATTCCAATTAGGATCGACAACTTTATATACCTACAAACTTTGTAGCAATGGGCATTAAAGAAGATAATGACATCCCTATTCTTCTAGGTAGACCATTCTTATCAACTGTATGAGCCATGATAGATGTCAAAAGAGGAAAAATGACTTTTGAAGTAGGTGACGAGAAGGTTGATTTTATCTTATCCAAATTTCTGATAGCACCCTCCATGGATGACTCATGTTGTACTGTTGATATTGTTGATGAATGGATTAAAGAATTGGATAAAGGAGAACCATTTGATACAATAAAACTACCCTCTACACCAATATTAGAAGATGATGGATTCAAAGCATATACACCATATATAGATAACAACTTTCACGAATGTTTAACACTTACCCCCTATGATCGGTGGAAATAGAACTGATTGTTTTTTAGCTGGTTTCGCGAAATGTCGCGGTAAGCAAGAGTCTCCATCGTCTTTTATGTTCTCCAACATGGAAAGGACAAAAGCACAGCAAAATTCCTTATTCGAGAATGTTTCTCGGTTCGGGAGGTAGATTTATAGAAAGGGAAGGTGTTAGCACCCTTTCTATCTGTGGTTATCCACGGGCTCTTAGGTACTTGCTCTTATGTTTTCAAAATTTGTTTGCTTTTCAAATGTGTGTGTGGGTTTGAAAAAGTTTCGTTTGAAAAATTTCTAAGTAACTCTTGTATCTGTCCTCAAGAGTGTATGAAAAATTTGTTTGAAAACTTTTGAAAGTGTGAGGTGTGAAAAGATGTTTTTGTTTTGTTTTTGAAAAGAGCAAGTACCCATGAGTCATCTACCTACCCTAAGGAATTAAGCTGTGTAAGTGTCCTTTAGATAGTGCTATCCCACCATTGAGAAGTAGGTAGCACCATCGTTGGAGGTGTTCGGGTCAATTCGATTATCGGGACAGTGTGGTCACCAAAGCAATGGTAGGACACCTTAGAAGTAACCCTAATGTCCTAGATCCTTTTATCCGAGGCAACCGTTTCGAGGCAACTGGATCTTTTGGACAAAAGAGCGACCTCTAAGACACCCTATACTTGATGACCACGTTTCGAGGCAACGAGTGAAGCGTACCCTAGAAGTGGCATGTGCTTTGTGTGTTGTTTTTCAGTTTAAGGTTATCTTGTACATGTTATTTGTGAGCTACGGGTTGTTTTTAATTTACATACATTCTTTCATGTGTTTAACAGTTAGGGGTGCGGAAAGTAAATTGCGGAAATATAAATTCTATGTTATTACAAGGCGCGGGTCTATACATCGCCAAAAATACAAAGACCCGTTTTGGTAAATAAGTACGAGAAATTAAATAAAGCGGTAAACCTAATTACTATTACATTCTTGGAAGCAATTACATAATAATCAAAACAAAATGCGCGCGAATAAAAGTTAATCGGGAATGCCTTAAGGGTTTTGACCCTTTTAAGAAAAGAAATTGAATTTTTTTGTCTTTTTTGAATTAAATGCAATTAATTAAATAAAGCCTAATTAATTAATTTATTAAAAGAAAAATGTTTTTGTGTTTTTTATGTTTTTATGAAATAAAATAAAAGAATTAAAATTCTAAGTTAACCTAATTCTAAATTATTTTAGTTATTAAGAAAAATTAATTAAAGTTGCCTAATTAAACCTAAATCAATTTATTAGTATTTATGTACAAAATAATTACTTTAAATTAATAAAGTATTTTTTGGTTTTATTGAATTTTATTGTGAAAAATTAGTTATGAGTTAATTAAATAATAACAGTTAATAAATATAATTAGTAAATAATAAAGAAAAGAAAAGAAAAGAAAAGAAATGCAAGAAACATGGGGGGTATTGGGCCAGGAATGAGGGTGTGTATGGAATTTGTGAGGCCCATTTTGCACAAAGCCTGTTGACTCTGGGAATTGAGTGGAGCGATGTTGACCAGGCACATGGTGTTCTTGCTTTCTGGCCTTTGGATCTGCACTGATGGACACTTGGCTGACTCTTGGATGAGGTTTATGATGTGCCTTCTTTGGAATGCTGCACAGGAAAGCGTTAGAAAAAACAATATGGAATTATGGAGGGACCTGGGAATCGAACCCAGGTCCCAGTATTTGCCAGCCACGTCTCCAACCATCTGAGCCATGATGCGCATTTGTAAACATATTGATAAGCAAATATTATATAAAACACAAACAACTATTATGATGCAAACAAAAATACGCGCGCTGAGTTTGAACCACCCAGTCACACGTTGCCACCTATTGTCTTCTTCGTTTTCACCTGTAAACATAAACAAGATAGCAGGGGTTTTAAACCCCCACAAACCAAAAGTGTCAATAATAGCGATTAGCAACAGGCATCACATAAATTGAGCGCGAGGGTCTCATTCAACTCGTATGGAGCTTCTGAGTGTAACTGTATGTGTCTCAAGGCCTGATTTTTCCTCAATAAGAAAGCCCTAATTTTCAAGCTTCTAAACCCTAAAATCCATTCATGGTGAATTGTGATTCTGTGAGTTTCAATGCAATTAATCCATACCAAAAGCTTCAGGAAGATGTCAGCAACACAAATCAATCAAGAAAATGGATTAAAAACGCATGGAATATGATATGTAGATTTGGAAATATATGCAAACCGTGTGACTTGTTGTCTTTGATTCTTTGCGTATTTGGACTGGTTCTTGATGCCAATAGATTCCTGGAGACTCAGGCAAGGTGTTTGAATCCTTTTTAGGCTTTGAAATGCACTACAAATAAGAATTCAGTTTCACAATATTTCTTGAATTTTTGCAATATGGTTATGCTGCCTCTGAGTTTTCTAGGTCGTGAATCATGTGTGGGAGGCTTGCATATGTATCTTTGAATGAGTATCAGTCACAATAAGGAGCCTTTAAGCCTTGTAATGAAGTTTTGATTTTCTCCATAACCACCATTGAACAACTTGCCATTTTTGCTCCAAATTTGAATTTTATGCTTGGAATAGGATGTACACGAATTTGGAATGTGTTTCATGATGCATCAAAGCAATTCAAGCCACAAAATATCCCCTAATTAATTTTTTTGATTTTTATTTGAATTTTAAAGATTTAAAATGAATTAAATCAAATAAAATTAAATAAAAATAGAAAAATTAATTTTTAATCTTGAAATAAATCATGGGACACATGGGAGGCATGGAAAAGCTGAACCAAATGGAAAAAGTGGGCCTTTTTTTGTCAAAAATGAAGTTTCAAGGATAGTTGACTTTGGCCATTTCACAAAAATTTCCCAACTTCTCCAATGCATATCTTGCTCAATTTTGATCATATGAACATGTTCTTGGACATTTTGGAAAGGTCTTGAAGTCCTTTAACCAATTTCTTTGGTCCCATGTCATTTTGATTTACCAATCTCAAGTTATGGTCTTTGACTTAAAGTGCCTTTTTGTTGACTTTTGAAAATGACCTATAATGTTGAAATTGATAACTTTTTGTGGGAGCATTTCTTGGACTTGGAATGTGAAGATGAGTTGTAGGAAATGTCATCCCCTTCAAAATGAGCATTGGATGGGATTTTTCTTATGAACCATGAAAAAGTTATGCCTTGGTCAAGTTACAGTTGACTTTTCAGCTGTCCAAAAATAGAAACTTTTGACACCTTGATGATTTTTGAGCCATTCTTGTGAAATCATGGTCAAGATTTGACCAAATGATGATTGTGGCTTTAAAATAAGATGTTGACAAAAAATTTTGACTTTTGACTGCCAAATGACCATTTTGCCCCTGCAGTTGACTGTGAAGCAATTGGGGTTTTTGACTGTGCAACTTGACCTTGTGAGCCTTGAAACTTGACATGTAGGTGTTTGACAATGTATATGAGCATATGGGACTTGATTGGACCCTTGGAAACCTCAACTTCCTTGCAAGAACCAAAACCCTAATTTGACTGGCTTAGGAGGGTGATTGACTGTGTAGCCCTTGA